ACAGGTATTTTTTCTAGTTCTCAGCATTCAGCTGTATATTTTCATAAAGTTTTTAAAGGCATCATATAATTTGTTGTAGATATTTGGAAACTTTTTGAAACTTAATTTCTAAATTTTTTTGAAGGAAAACGAAAAAACGGGAATCAAGAAACAGTGTTGTGTAAAAAGATACATACATTCATAGATACAAACATACAACTATACATACATACATCATACAAACAAAATTTGAATTGGAAACTAAAAAGCATTGACCAATTTTGAAGTATTTTGAAAGAATATGATTCTGTTTCTTCTTGAGTTAGGTTGATTTTTGTTGCGTTTTTCTTTAGAGAAACAAAATTGGCTAATTTAACTTCCGAAAATAAAAAAAGTTGATTTTTTGGAGAATTCAGAATGAAATTTTCCGATTTCTTGAATTTTCTGAAAAAAATGATTCAAAGTGTTTATCTCTTAATGAAAACGTTCTGAACAAATATGGAAGAAGCGAAACATCGAAAACCATTTGAACAGTTGTACGTTTTGTCGGGTATCCAAAAAACAACAATTTAACGGTTACTTCGAACTAACTACAAATTTATATTTATTTAGATTTTCGTTAAAAATTGATAACTTTTTACATATGATTAGAAAAAACATGCTCAGGGCTTCTTTCACGAAAAGAACTTTATGTCACATTTTGCAGTTGTTGAGAAATTATTTATGAAATTTTTTTAAAAAGTGGAAATTTGACTTGGAAGCTAAAAAAGAATTGACCAAATTTTAAAGTATTTTGAAAGAGTTTTGTTTTTGTTTTCTCTTGAATTAGGTTGTCAGACAATGAGTTTTTCCTTAGAGAAAGAGAATTTGCTAATTTAAGTCCGAAATTAAAAAAATTCAGAAAAAAACAGGAAAAATTGGTTTTTTGGAGATTTCAGAATGAAATTTCCTGTTTTCTTGAATTTTCGAAAGAAAATGATGTAAAGTATTACACATATTTTGAAACCTCTTTAGGAAAAACTAAATTATGGGAGAAGCAAAACGTCGAAAACCATTTTGACAGCAGCGAACTTTCATTTTTTCCTAACTAAGTCGCAAATGTTGGGGCCATTTTTTGGGCAGCTTAACAACTTTTGAAAGCATGTGCTTTGACGTTCGATAAGTAACAAAAACAACGTAGTTGATGCAATTTTCATTGTTCAAGTGAACCAAAAAAGTTATTTGCTAATCAATACCAGTACAGCAATAAAAACTCGATTTCAGAAATTTTCAAACTCGATATACTTCCCAAAGTTTTTAAATTTGTAAATTATACATAATTTGCCTCTGTACTTTCCTTTTTAAATTTCAAAGTTGTGTCCTTTCGTTCCCACTGTAAAAAAATAACGGATAATGTTTGTGCTCGGGACGTTTTTTTTCTTCTGACAAATATCGAATTTTTAAATAGCCATTTTTAAGGGAAATTTTTTTATCATTCAAAAAATTGTTGTCCTGAGCTTAAATTCAAAAAAAAAAAATTTCCCTTCTGGTCTTTATTGTTAACTTATGGGGGCTTAAAGATTGCCGTTTTGTCCAATTTGCGACAATTAGCGCCTTTTTAACGTGTGAGCGGATACTTGATCCGTCTTACAAATCCTTCCAAACTGGTTGAAGCAAGCTTTTTTGCCAAAACTGCCCTAGCACTAAGAGCCAAATTTATCAGGTTGTACTTTTTGAGGCGTGTGGACTGATTTTTTTGAAATTTTTGAAATTGTCCTTCTTTTTCCTGAAAAATTTGTCAATTTTTATAAAGGTAACTCCGCTCAATTGACATAAAAATGCAGTCGGACATTCAAACATACATACACACATACATACATACATACATACATACATACATATATACAAACATACTTACATTTATACATATATACCTACATACATACATACATACATACATACATACATACATACATACATACATAAATACATACATACATACGTACATACATACATACATACATACATACATACATACATACATACATACATACATACATACATAAGACCGCTCAAAAACCGCCTAAAAACCGCCTAAAAACCGCTCAAATCTTGCTTGAAAAACCTTTCAAAAGCCACCGCAAGAAATGGGCGGTTTTTGAGCAATTTTTCAAACAAGAGTCGAGCGGCTTGGGAGGTTTTTCCAAAAAAAACCGCGCAAACCGCCCAAACCGCTCAAATCTTGCTGGAAAACCGCTCTAATCGCTCATATCTTGAGCGGTTTTTCAGCGGGATCTCGATCCGGGTTTGAATATATTTTTTGTATCCAAAATGCAATTCTAATGGGTTTAGTTATGTTGAGATATGTGTCAATAAATTTGATTTATTCAATGAAGGTCAGATCGGGAATTCATTTATTCAAAATAAAGGTGACAAGTAGTTCAGAAAAACTTTTCCGCTCCTTATTGAAATAAAATATTCGTAAACTTCAAACGAATTTTTATAGAGGAAGGAAGCATTTTTCCCCAAAAAATGGTTTTCGTGCTTCCAAAAGTTTTCAGTTATCAGCTGCATACGCTTTAGTCAACAAAAATTTTTTGTTACGTTTGAATATCAAAAAGCTTTTTTTTCTTAAGATCTTCATAAACATAAGGTTATCGTTGTTTTTAGAATTCGCTTTTTGCAGCTCAACATCTTTGTTGAGTTTTATTGTAGCTAAAACTTCTGGTCTATTTTTAGTTGCTTTTTGTTTGAAAGAAGCTAGCACAAACTCGGCTACACGGTAAGAAAATTTAAACTACAATACAGCTTGCTTAGTTTTGGACGACAAGGACGAACAGAAATAAAGCAGAACTGAGTTTTTGCAGCAGCAGCGCTTGTTCTGTTCTCTAAATCTGGTTGAGATTTTTTAACTAAATTGTTAAGACAAAACAAACACAGCCATAAATTGAAAAGATAAAATGTATATTCTGTTTTTATGAAGAGAAGCTTATTGCAAACCATTCGTCAATAACAAAAAATTTCCAGATCAGTTTTAATTCACGAAACTTGATGAGCTTTGTTATCAATCCCATCTAATTTTCAAAAGCTTGATTTTTTAAAGCTTTAGCTTCAACGAGAATTTGTAATCTCGCTCGATGTCGAGTAAACTATGTCTGATATGCCATCATAGTTAACCGTCAACCAAAAAAACAACCAGTGAAAATTAGAACCGAAGTGGTAAAACTTAAAAACCTTACAGCACTTGTTTTTAACATTTATTTGAGAGCGGTTGTCAGTAGCATAAGAATGCGATGTGGGTGAGTGTGGAAATTATGATAACTTTTGACACCAACGCCCACTCTCATGATAAAAAAGTGCTTAAATTTGAAAGCAAGTTTGAGTGGCTATGGTTAATCTGATAGATGGGTTTTGAACTTCTTTGTTCAAATTTTAGTGATCTCCCTTAGGTCTTTGAGCATAGTGAAGTAACAGTCTTTAGCCTAGTTTTCCTTCCTTTCAGAAAATCAAAAACGTTCAGTTATTCTGATTACTGAATATTTCCAGTTTAGAAGGCGAGGACCCTCGAGATTGATTTCATCGACACTGTCTTAAAAAAAACAATTCTCGAAATTTTTGACACTATTTTTGAAGCCAAATACATTGAATTGCTCAGTGTTTTTTCCATTTTGCGTTGCGAAGATTTTGCTGTTAAAAAACGGCAACCGACTGCGCCCTGAAACTTGTGTCTGTGGTCTTTTGCAGTTCATATCTCTGAACAAAATATTCTTGTCGTGAAAAAATCGAACTGAGTTTTTCGAAGTTGTTTAAAAAAAGCATTAAAAGCTCATAATTTTAGCACGCCGCAATATACAGATAGTGAGGAATGTTTAGCTGCCTGACAAAAAGTGAAGTTCTTGGAGCAACTAACTTTGAAATCATCTTTATCATTTTGCTTGCTTTGCAATTTCAAGATAACAAGATTTACTCTGCATAGTCCAGATTCAAGAAGTTCTATCTACTTTGCACTGGTAAAAACTTTTTTTTTCATCACCTCAAACTCAATAGTTTTTTTGGAACAGCTCATCAGCTCTTTGTACAGTTTGTTCAAACGCGATTGAAACCCAATCAGCAAAAAACGTTTTTTACGCGTTTGATCGTGAGTTCGTTTGCTCTAAAAAAGTTTTGTATGTACCATATTTGATGTGACATATTAAGTGTCGGCTATAAATTTTCAATTTTTTTCGAATGTTTCATTAGAAAAGCGCATTACTTTTTTCTACTTTAACCCTGAGATAACGTTAAATGGTGTATCTGATTATGAAAGCATCGAAAATTTACTATGATGTCACCCGATTGAAAATTTTTGTTAAAGCTTAAATTTCACAGGTTGTCAAAAACTACATACACATTTTCAATTCCAGAATGTTTTTGATGGCGAGGCTTTATGTAATTTTTTGTATCAACTAAAGATGCAGGAATTTTTAAAATTAATTGAATGTGATAATTGGCGCATGCACTCTTTTAGAAACAGCTTTTGCTTGGCTGTTATTTGAAAGTTTCTTGCCGCGAAAATGTTGTCCGTACTGTGTGATCTCTGATAAAGCAACATTCGATTCAAACTCATAGTAAGTGAAAACCATCTATGAATTATACCTTCGAGTCTTACGTGTCATATAATCTCATACATTTTACTTTTCTTTTACTATTGACTGCAGCAGAGTTTCTTGCCGCAAAAAAGTTGTCAGTACTGTGTGTTTTCTGACAAAGTAGCATTCAATTCAAACTCAAAGTAAGTGAAAACCATCTATGAATTATACCTTCGAGTCTTACGTGTCATATAATCTCATACATTTTACTTTTCTTTTACTATTGACTGCAGCAGAGTTTCTTGTCGCAAAAAAGTTGTCAGTACTGTGTGTTTTCTGACAAAGTAGCATTCAATTCAAACTCAAAGTAAGTGAAAACCATCTATGAATTATACCTTCGAGTTTTACGTGCCATACAATATCATGCATTAATTTTTCTTTTACTATTGACTGCAGCAGAGTTTCTTGCCGCGAAAAAGTTGTCAGTACTGTGTGTTCTCTGACAAAGTAGCATTCAATTCAAACTCAAAGTAAGTGAAAACCATTTGTGATTTATACCTTCGAGTTTTACGTGCCATACAATCTCATACAATAATTTTTTTTATTATTATTGACTGCAGCAGAGTTTCTTGCCGCAAAAAAGTTGTCCGTACTGTGTGTTCTCTGACAAAGTAGCGTTCGATTCAAACTCAAAGTAAGTGAAAACCATTCGTGAATTATACCTTTGAGTTTTACGTGCCATACAATCTCAGACAATAATTTTTTTATTATTATTGAATGCAGCAGCGTTTCCTGCAGCAAAAAATTTATCCGTACTGTGTGTTCTCTGACAAAGTAGCAATCGATTCAAACTCAAAGTAAGTGAAAACCATCAATGAATTATACCTTCGAGTCTTACGTGTGTTATATTCTCATACATTAACTTTTCTTTTACTATTGACTGCAGCAGAGTTTCTTGCCGCAAAAAAGATGTCAGTACTGTGTGTTCTCTGACAATGTAGCATTCAATTCAAAATCAAAGTAAGTGAAAACCATTTGTGAATTATATCTTCGAGTTTTACGTGCCATACAATCTCATACAATAACTTTTTTTATTATTATTGACTGCAGCAGCGTTTCCTGCCGCAAAAAAGTTGTCCGTACTGTGTGTTCTCTGACAAAGTAGCATTCGATTCAAACTCAAAGTAAGTGAAAACCATCTATGAATTATACCTTCGAGTCTTACGTGTGTTATATTCTCATACATTAACTTTTCTTTTACTATTGACTGCAGCAGAGTTTCTTGCCGCAAAAAAAAGTTGTCAGTACTGTGGATTCTCTGACAAAGTAGCATTCAATTCAAACTCAAAGTAAGTGAAAAACATTTGTGAATTATACCTACGAGTTTTACGTGTCATATTATCTATCTCATACAATAATCTTTTAGCAGAGTGATTTTTACTGAGTGACGTCAAGAAAGAAAGAAAGTGTTTTCTAAACATGAGTGGAACTTTGTCCAAAAATGAGGACGACAGGGGAAAAAGACTTGAAGAGACTCTGGTAGAAGCAAGTACTGATGTAGTTTTGTTGATGTGAGTACAACGTTTAACTGAAAAGTTGATATTCATCATTGTCGTCGAATATCATGCATAGATTGAAAATTGGAGAAAAATCATTTCAATCCAAAATATGCATGTTTTTTAAGAGGCTGATCAGAATCTCGAATTGTCAAATTTCGTTTAAATCATCATCATTGTGAAACAATTTTTTCACAATGAGCAAAGAACAATGTTTCAAGGTTAGAACAATGCTTCAATTTCAGTTTCACTCATAAACACGTTCTAACGAACTCATCAATAAAGCGAATAACATGGATTTTTATCAGTAATTTCTTGATTTAGCCAATCGATTCGGACAAACTCCAAAAACGAAGATGATTTGAATGGTCTGGACATTGAAACCAAAGAAAACTACTTGAAAATTAGAGAGAGCACCAGAAAACAGTGTCTTATTTACTCAAAACATGTTCTCCCTCTGACAATTGACGTCTTCAAGAAGATTTCCTCACTGATGGATAATTACGCCGATATCGAACCTGAGAAATGGATATTATCTCTTTCAGATATTAGGAAAAAATTGAAAGATGCAAAATCTTCATGTGAAAATTTAAAAAATATTCACAACGAAATTATCCGAAACTTGAAGGCAAATCATGCTGAAGCTGAATCTGCGACCGATGAATTCAAAAAAATTGAAGAAAATTGCCAGGAAAGCATAAAGGTTTTGCATGACGAAGCCAAAAAGGCGCAGAGAAAAGAAGATAAGGCGAATTTCTGGAAAAAGGTTCTTTCTGTTCCAACATTTGGAATTGGTTATGTAATCGCCGGTTTGGTCGCGGAGAACCACAAAAAGCAATCGCAGACAAAAGATGAAGAAGCTGCTAAACAAGAGAAGGACGTGGAAGTTGTTAAGAGAGCTGTGTCTATGAGCAATCAGCTGAAACTCATATTGGATCATTTTCTGGACCGTTTAGATTCAATCCTTGAGTTCATTGGCCTGTGCGAAATCAATGTGGAAAAAATGATCGACAATACAGAAAAGGCAAAATCTTCAAATGAAGGCAGGGAAAATCATCTTACAATTACGAAGGCAAGGGCTAAAGATATAAGAGGATTATGTGACACATTCGTGACAAGTACGGCACCCAGGTTGCAAAACGATCTGGCTCTGTTTCCTAGTCAACCAGAAGACGAGAAGTTTTTGCAAGAATGGAAGGAAAGCCACAATATCACTCTCGCTGCTGCGCAATTGCAGCTATCTGATCCAGGTATAAATTCAACTATAACTAACGAGATAAACAACGGGCAGAACCGAAGGGGAGAATGTCAGAACAATAACCTAACGAGGAAAACCAGCGGGAAGAACCGAAGGGAAGAAGGTCAGAACAAATAACAGGTTTTGAAGACTAATGACTGATTGTTAAAAGCAATCTGTGCTTACAATGTAAATAAAATAGTACAAAAGAAATTGATATCATCTCTGGTTTTTTGAAGCCTGGTTACAAAGTCCCATAATATACATAGATACTCAAAATATTTGTCTCTGAACATCTTGGCTACTTGCACAACAGTCAAATTTCCACGTTAGAAATTGAAACTGATGAAACTGAAGAAATACCTGCTCTTGAAATGAAACATCAATCAAACAATTTTTGGAACCCTGATACATTATGTTATGTACATATGTGCGTGTGTTATTATCAGCTTGGTCTAGTTTTCTGCTGTAACAATAGTCAAAAAGGCTGAAAAAATAATTGTATAAGGAAATTATTTTTCTCTTTTGTCATGTCCCGTGGACTTTCTCTTGATACTGTATTATTATGACGCACACAACTAGTATTTTTAAAAGCTGTATTTTTTATTGTTGTAGAAGGAAAAACTCCACCAAGAATCTTTATTGTTAATTGCTTTTGCACCACTAAAATTTGTGTTTTCTAAACTATGAAACGCCATTAACTCTTGATGGCGAGTATTTTAAATGATATAAATCACTCAATTTAATCGCACTCTTCTTATAGCGACTGATTTTGTATAAAATGATATAAATTACTCAATTTTATATTAATTTTCTTTATAGCTACTGATTTGATAGCGACTGAAGTATGACGAGGCCAAATTGTGAGTTTTGGGAAAAATAAGTGGATTCCGCAACAAGAACGATCCTTTTCTTCTTATTTCGTTCTTTCAGTTTTTTGATCATTCAGACAAAATTTTAACACGTTTAAAGACTTGTCTCTGGAATCCAGGAACAAACAGACGCAAATATGTGCGACTATCCAGTACACATTTTAGCCTCGTAAAGAAAAAAAAACAGACCACATCCGAACAATTTAAAATTTCTGCCCTGCACTAATCACAAGTACTGTTTCTTCGTTTTTTAAATCAAATTTAGCAAGTAATACGCGTTTAAAAGTCTAAATAGGGCAAGCTATGTCAGAATAGGCATTTCGAAACATACTGCGACTACAAAAATTGACGTTTTTCTGGAACTTTTTCGCATGTGTACATCTAGCAGTTATTATAAAGTACTAGTTTTGCAAGTTTATGGGTAAGGACAGTTCCGCTTACGTCAAAAAATGTTCTGTCTGATCTGATTTACATTTTAAAGCTTAGGGTCAAATAAGTCATGATAGGTGAACGTAAAATTCAAGGCATTAATACCTTTGCAGTAATATTTTACACTTTGAAAGCAATTCTGTTTGTGTGGAACTTCAACTATTTTTATAATACAGATCAAATAAGTTGATCTTGAACGAGTTGAATAAAAAGACTTGACTTAAAGTTAACATTTAGGTTAGACTTTTGAAGTAATGAACGGAGAAGCAAAAAGCTGAATGGAACACAATGCTACCTACATAGAAGTTCCATCAATGAAAATCGATTATAATTGAGTATTCTGGTCAGTGTCCATGAAATTGAAATCAAATTGATTATAGTGAAAAGAAAACGGATTTTAAAATTACTATTTTTGCGGCAACATTTTTTTCAACCATTATAATCGATTTTTTTTCGTTTTTGTGGACACTGACAAGGAATTCAAATTATAATCGATTTTTTTCCAAATTAGTGAGATGCAAATTTCAACAGACAAAGTTTTTCTACGTTTCAAACTAAAGTTGCTTACGTTGGTTACCTCTGGTTCAGTTTAATTTTTTTCTGTCCAACTTTGATATTTCTGTAACTTTTTTATGTTACTCAAAAACTGAATTTTGTTCTTCTCAACAACTTTGTTAAAATATTAGAAAAATTCGGGGAAAAGGGTTTAAAGTTGGAGGAGGAATGATCCCCCTTCCATTGCCCCATTTACGTTTGCTCAATGACAGCAAACTGGGGGTGCTCAGGGGTGGGGCTTGGTTTGCACAGGTGGGGGTGCTGAGGTGGGTTGCTCAGGAGCTTGGGTTTAGAAATGGATTAGGCCGTATAATCACTTTGCAAAGTTTCCGCGAAACAAAAATAAAGTGGACGCGCGAAACAAAAATAAAGTAGAAAAAATCCATTTTATTGAGATTTCCCCCTTATTATAAAATCCAATGTAAAAGATTTCAATTGAATTATAATGCACTTTGGTTTGGCGAAAAAAATGGATTCCAATAATGGGATTCGTAACATGGGAATCGATTATATTTACACTTTTTTAGACCACGAAAATCCATTACAATCAATTTTTTCACTTTTCTTTAATGCGGGTAACCTCATCGCACCCATCTGAATATAACAAAAATTGTTTTTTGTTTGCGTCCAGAATTTTTGCATTAATGAGCTGGCGACAAATCGATTGCTCATGGGAGTACAAATGGTGTGTGGACAGCTCAATTGGTTGATTTCTTGAGTGAGTTGGTTTCGCGTCATGATGCAAGTTGGTTCCTGAAGCTAAATTGTTCGATATATTTTGCATGATGATATTGATCAGGTTAGGTTACTTCGATACCTAATTTGTTGGCTTGTTTGGCGTTTGTTTTTAGAAAGATGTGTCTACAAGTTGCTTTGCATTGGGTTTTCGTCTTACGTTCTGCTTAATTGGAATCTATCGCATTATTTTTACAAATAAAACTGCATAATATTAAATTAAATATTTTTGCTTAAGCTGAATATCTTTCCAATTTTTGATACAAAAAATACCGCAAACTTTACCGTAAATTGTAAACCTAAAATTTCTTTACAGATTCTGATGAAGAAGTTATAATTTTTACTCATAGGTGATTCTTTTGTTGAATAATTATCCCGTGAAACTTCAACTAGGATCTAATGTTTTTCAAACACAATGTTGCGAGAGCAGCGTAGTTATCAAAAACAATAGTCAAATAAGTTCAATTGCATACTATAGGAAATTGATGAAAGTCGTAGTTGGAGGAGGACGGTAAAAGTTCAAAAAAGTCATCCTAATATGTTTAACTCCTGCTTTTTGTCATAATTAAGATCAGTCAATCAAAAATAACTAAATAGCTTTTTATCAAGTTTGATTTCTTGCACTCAACGGAAAGTTTTAAATTTATTTGTTGATCGACACTTTTGATTGTTGTCAGAAACCATGACGCAGGATTTTAAAAATACTTAAAAATTTACAGCGATAATTTCGGCGCAATTGTTCCAAGTTGATTGGATCTTATGATAAAACCGGCTGCGGGAAGAACGCGAGGCCACCTTTTGTACCTCATTATTCTAGGTATACTTTCATTTGATTTGTCTACTAATGAGTGATGGCGTGATAGGGTGTTCCACTCAAGGCTATAATTCAAGGCCCCAGGTTGATGCCTGATCATGTTTACTTTGCAGTAGTGCCAGTTGCGTTATTTTTTTCTGTTAACTGTCGACTTAGTCTGGTTGCTCTGTTTCTCTTTTTCAACACGGCATTAGTAAACGTCAATTCAATTAATACAGTATAATCTATCAGCCTTCACATGTTCGCTCTATTTATAATGTTTAATAAAAAAATATTATTTTCCTTTAATACTTCTGTTTGGAGTCAGTACAAGGTGGGTTACATCTCTGCTCAGCCAGAAGCTGTGGTGAAAAAAGACAGGGTTGAATTGTTAGTTGTTAGTTATTCCGCCCTTCTGGGCAAAATATTCAGTTAAATCTCCATTCTAATGGGAACTTAAGAACAGCCAATTCTTTCTGGCTGTGGGATTATAAGAGAAAAAGACCAACTAGGAGACCCTGTGGTAATTGTTGACAGAAGCCCCAGCAACCGGTGAAAGAAAAAAAGATAGACTTCTTAGTTAATCCGCCGTCCTGGGCAGAACAATACATTAAATCAGAATTCTTATGGTAAACTCAGAACGGCCAATTCTTCATGGATATGGGGTTAAAAGACAACGTTATCCCAAACGACATACTAGGAGACCCTGCGGTTATTGTCTACAGAAGTCCCAGCGTGTGCAGTAGCTGAAGACGCTCGTGTTGGCCGCAATCAAGCAGCTGATCGGAGAATAGATGAATGGAATGCGCAGAGGGAAAGCAAAGTTCTTCGCATTAGTCATAATTGATTTTACCACAAGGCAGAAGCGCGATTGAAGTCTCGCTTGTTTCTCTCGGTATGAAATGAATGTAAACAGCGTTCTCGGAATCTAACCCACAACTCGTCCTCATTGCGTGTTTGTTCAAGGTTTTGTGAAGCTTTGTTCAAAACGAACGTGATTATACAGTGGAACGGACAAAGCTGTAAAACCCGAAATGCATAATGAAAAGAGATGATTTTTACGCTCGATTGATTGCACGAGCTGCATTGGGTAATTGGCATCAAGCCCCAAGATGATGCATATCGCAGGACTTGTTAACCAGACGTAATCGTGACGTAGAGTTTTAGCAAGAACTGATTGAACTAAAATAAGAAATCGACAGTACACTCAAAATGGTATTAGAGTTTGAAAAATGTGCATCTACTTCAGTTCAACTCCAGAAGTTACTACCTCGCCATCAGAACTTTGAGATTACAAAAATCAAGCAGAAAACGACACTTTCGATTCAGTCAAGAAAGAACAAAATAGTAGCAGAAGAGGCAGAACAATCGTTCCTCAAAACAAGGACACGGCAGCAGTAGCAATCCATGTTATTTCTCATCGAATACGTGCTCTCTGAACACCGAAAGACGTGTCCGACTAGAAATAATTAATGTAACATCTGCCATAGACGTGGAGTTTTTATAAAGTGTTGCACCTCGTCCTCAAAACGGAGAGTGAATCTGGTGCGGGATCAGAATGACGCTCCACCCCGATCGAAGAATTGTGGTTTTAATGACGGTAATATCGATGGTGAACCAGAGCACGGCGTATTCATGGCTGATAAGTGGTCCAACTCAGTAGTGTTGATCTTCTACAGTCCAATGCAAGAACGACATGAAATCTGAGCATACAGATGAGGTCAAATCAGAGTTTCTTCAGCGCAACGTCGTTATGGGGAGCCCGGTGTCGTTGCTCAGCCAGCTTAGCCTTCTACTTCAGAAAAATTCCAAAATTCCCTTTTGGTACAGCTTATATGGACTGGCTCTTTTTCCTTTTCACCCACCTGCAA